CATGCTGTTACAGAAAAGATTCAAAGTTGGTTGCCTGTTCTAAGGAATTGTAAAAAAAAGACTTTTTGTAAATACAGGAGTATAAAGTTGAGTTTTCTTTAGCAAATAGAGTCACTTTTGATGTAAGATTGTCAGGAAGATCATTTATATAGATAAGAAATAATACAGTACCAAAGATAGATTTTTGATGTACCACAGAAGTTATTAGAAATAAAAAAGAGTGTTGACCTTTGAGGATGGCTTTAATACTGCGGTTAGAAAGAAAGAATTTGATATACTTTTGATATTAAATATTGTTTAATATCAAAAGTATATCAAACAAATATATTTTGGAGAGATACTCTCTCTAGGATGTTCATGCATGTACACCTTGAAGAGATATTCCATTTGTTTATATTTTAACTTTAACTTTTTTTTCATCACCAGTAATTGTTAGAATCTTTGATGAGACAATTTAAGATCTATTGATACAACAGTTTTCTCAATTTTTGCAATTGATTTTCTATTGCAGGAGTATCTAATATATTTTTCTACATATTGAAAGGAATCTCCTTTCATTGGGGTATTAGTATTAGAGCTTGAAGTTGAACTGTTTTTTTTTTTCTGTGGTAAGATTGAGAGTAGTCCATTAAGTTTAGCTTTATATTACTTCTAGTATTATTTCCCAGGCTACAAATAGGACACTTAGTAAAGTTGTGTCTGAATTACACGTAATTCAGACACTACTATAATTTTATCAAGCATTGAAATAGTAAATATTTACCTTGACCAAGTAATTGCATTTTTTACAGTTTTCCCCATCTGTAAAAAAATATTTATATACTTTGCATTTAAGTAATTAATATTAGTTATACAAAAATTGATAGATTTAAAATGGAGTATAAAAAAGATAAATACTTCTTTCTTGTAGATTTTAACCTTGCTTTTTTGACACAGTCTAGTGCAAAAAGTTTTTTGTTTAAAAACTTTAAAATGAAACTTTTTTGACACAGTCTAGTGCAAAAAGTTTTATGTTTGTTTGTGTTCTGTTTATTCTCTAATGCAGCGTGAGCTCAGTAACTAACTACTTACTCCAACTACAAAACGTACACTCACCTTAGACTCCTGTATTTTGTTAGATGCAGTGTTTTTCCTTATGCACTTCCAAAATGTCATGCCTGGTTTTCTCAAAGTACTGTTGCGGGAAGTAGCTCCTTTTAACTACTCCAGGTCAGGTCAGAATAATCGAGATCAATCTTGCTACTGGTATCACGTAACCCAGTACCACCTGCCACAAGCCCTGCTGCCTTGCAGAGTGTGCTCTTCTTATGCAAAGGCTAGGAGAAATAAACTCAGACTAAAAATTCCCCTGCCTTGGGGCTCTTAGTTGAGTAAAGGCTAGAGATGGTGTCTCGATAAAAACACTCATCTTGGGCAGATGTTAACTGCATCTTGCTACTGTCTTGTAGAAAGCCTCCTAGGCAAAGACTTTAGGGGTTAGCAGAAAAATTCTGCTAACCAGCCTCGAACCCCTTCTTCATCTATTAGGCTGGCGTAGATGTAACCTGTGTTACATTGTTTCCTGCCTAGGATGATGAATGCTGGATCTCCTTGACTCTACTCATAGAATTTTGCTTATGCCTCCTTGATAATGGCTATGCAACTCTTTCTGTTATCTCCATATGAGGCTACAGCTCTAAAACTCAGTTTAATGGTTCTGAGGCCGGCTGGTAGTAAGGTTTCCCGAAATCTGTGGTAGCTCTCAGAGAGGCTGATTCCATCAACAGCTGCAAAATATCAGAGTATTAACAGTGCCATATTGCGCATGGATGGTGTCCCTGTTAATGCTTTTGTTGTGCATTGTCAAGGCCACATAAGGAGCCCTATGTCACGGCTTAGGGTTAATTAACAATACTGAGACAACTGCATAGCTCATTGATTAGGAGGCTGTGCTCTATCTATGAATGAGTCAAGTTCTCATTAAACCCAAATCATGACCAAAGTAACCAAAAATTTAAAACCTAAAAAACCATCCCCACCACCTAAACATTTTAATATATATTTTACAAATATTCGCGGTCTACGAGGCAACTTTCCATCAGTTGAGTCTTACCTCCTGCAAAATTCACCAGACTTGCTTGCACTCAGTGAAACAAATTTAAATTCTGCAATTCCTTCTTCAGATGTCAGTGTTGATGGGTACTATCCTTTGATTCGTAAAGACTCCAATAGTCACATGCTAGGTTTAGGGGTATACATACGCATTAATTCCCCTATTTGTCGTGAAATCAGGTTCGAATCCTTTGACCATTCTTTTATGTGCTTTCGCCTAGCACCTCTTCACTCTATCATCTTTCTCTTTGTTCTTTATCGTTCTCTTTCTTCCCATGATTGCACTCTTTTAGATGTTATCTCTGATCAAATTGACCATGCCCTCTCTCTTTACCCCTCTGCCAATATTGTTGTTGTTGGTGATTTTAATGCCCATCACACTGAATGGCTTGGCTCTGACACCACTGATCCTGCTGGCACTAAAGCCTTTAACTTCTGCGTTTCTCAATCTCTTACTCAGATAGTTAACTTTGTGACTCGTTTTCCTGACAACCCTAATCATTTACCTTCACTCCTTGACTTATGTCTTGTCTCTGACCCTAGCTTATGCTCAGTTTCTCCCTTTTCTTCCTTAGGTGGTTCTGACCATGCAATGATCTCTATAAATCTTTCTTCTCGTACTTCTTTTTTGGGCTCACCTTATCATCGCACCACCCACTACTACCCTAAAGCTGATTGGGATTCCTTTCGTGATTTTCTTCGTGATGGTCCTTGGGCTGATGTTTTTTCTCTCTCAGCTGACAAATGCACCTCCTACGTAACCTCCTGGATTCAGGCTGGAATGGAAGCTTTTATTCCTTCTCGTCGGTTTCAAGTCAAGCCTCATTCTACTCCATGGTTTTCTCCTTCTTGTGCGGCTGCTATATCAAATCGTAATCATTATTTTCATCTTTTTCAAAAGAACAACTCTCTTGAGAACAAACGGCTATTTATTATTGCAAGAAATCGATGTAAAAAGGTGCTTTCTGATGCTAAACTCCATTATTCTCAGTTCACTAAATCTCGCATCTTATCGCAGAAGTTAGGCTCTAAAGACTTTTTGAAAATCTTCAACAGCGTTGTTAACAAGGGTAGATCTAACATTCCATCTCTCATTCATGGGACTGATCTTGTTACCTCTCCCAGGGATAAGGCAGAACTGTTTGCAAAGAACTTTTCTTCTAATTCCACTCTTGAATCTTATGGACATTCTCTTCCTTCCATTCCAGTCAAACAGGTTGACCAATTGTTAGACATTCAAATCACTCCGGCTTCTGTTGCTAAAGTCATATCTCAATTAAACTCGTCTACAGCTTGTGGTCCAGACAACATTCCTGTCACAGTCTTGCAGAATTGTTCTCCAGAACTTTCTTCAATTCTCTCTAAACTATTTAACAAGTGTTTGACTGAGTTTTGTTTTCCTGCTTGTTGGAAAATGGCATCTGTGGTTCCAATATTCAAAAACTCTGGAGAAAATTCTGACCCCCCAATTATCGTCTGATCAGTCTTCTTTCTGTTATTAGCAAGGTCTTTGAGTCTTTAATCAACAAATTCCTCACATCTCATCTTGAGTCAAATAAACTGCTGTCAGACAATCAATACGGTTTTCAATCCTCTCGCTCTACGGCTGACTTGCTAACTGCTGTAACTGAAAAATTTTATCGTGCATTAGATGGAGGCGGTGAGGCTAGGGCTATTGCTCTCGATACATCTTAAGCTTTCGACAAAGTTTGGCATGCTGGTCTTCTCCATAAGCTTGCGTTATATGGTGTTTCTGGGAAAGTTTTTGAGATTATCAAATCATTTCTTTCTGACCGGTTTATTAAAGTCATCCTTGAAGGCCAACTATCTTCTTTATTTCCAGTAACTTCTGGGGTTCCCCAAGGTTCCATCCTGGGCCCTGTTTTGTTTCTTATCTACATAAACAATCTTCCTGACAACCTTTCATCTAAAGTAGCTCTTTTTGCTGATGACTCAACTTTATACTCCTGTCTTGACAAAAAGTCTTCTCTTTTCGATCGCCTAGAACAAGCAGCTGATCTTAAATCTGATCTCACTTCAGTAATAGATTGGGGTTCACAGTGGCTTGTGAATTTCAACTCTAAAAAAACCCAATTGCTTACTGCAAACAACGACCGTAATATGGTCAACATTCCTATATTAATGAATGACAATCCTCTTACTGAGTCGTCCTCTTTACGTCTTCTTGGATTATCGCTTACTACTGACCTTTCATGAAAATCATATATACAATCAATTGCTAAATTAGCTTCTGCTTAGATTGCTTCTCTTTATCATGCTCGCCACTTCTTTACTTCTGATTCCATTCTCTACCTCTACAAATCTCTTATTCGTCCCTGTATGGAATACTGTTGTCATATTTAGGCTGGTTCTTCTAACGATTCACTTTCTCTTCTTGACAAGGTCCAAAAACGCATTGTAAATGTTGTTGGACCTGGACTATCTGCTAAGCTTGAACCTTTTTCCCATCGTCGTAAAATTGCATCTCTTTCTCTTTTCTACAGATACTATCATGGTCACTGCTCAAAGGAGTTATCATCTCTAGTTGCATCAACTAAAATTCATTCTCGTTTTACTCGTCATTTAGCTAAGTCTCATTTGTTTACTGTATCTGTCTCTGCATGCGCTAAAAACTTTTATTCATCTAGTTTTTTTCCCCGCACTTCAATCCTTTGGAACTCTCTCCCATCTTCATGTTTTCCTGACTCATACAACCTTCAACTTTTCAAGTCTTCTGTCAACCGTTTCCTTGCTCTATAACTCTGTTGTTTTTTTTTCCTAGTAACTCCCAATTTAATAGTGGTTGCTTGCAGCCTTGTTGGGAGTGAATGCAAATAAAAAAAAAAAAAAAAAAAAGTTGATTAAGCAAGGGTATTATTATATAATATAATATTCAATGAGTAATATAAGCATATTTACAATCTAACATATTACAATAACAAATTTTAATTTGTTTCTTCTGAATCGGAAGATGATGGTAAACTAGAAAAAATTTTATTTTTCACTCTCGAAAAACAAGATACTTTCTCGGTTGCAGTAGCTTTTAGAGCCAGTAGTCTTGTGGCTCTCGCCTTCTTTCCAACATTTCTATTGATTGCTCCGGCCAAAAAATGTACAATCACCTTTTGAATATCGCTTTCTGTGACTTGTGCAGTCGAGGGATTTCGCTTCAATGCGCCTGTAAAATTAAAAAGCATAAGATAACATACATATAAAATCAAACGATGTCATATTCTCAACTCGTATATTTATTTGGAGAGTCAACTAAAATTATTAAGTTAAATAGTTTAAAGTTTAGTCAAACCTATTTTAAAATATAAACATTTTGGTATAATTGACATTTACTTACATAAAAGGAAAAGAACAATAAATATACAAATCTTTTTATATTGTCCCGCTTTTCAGACAATGTTTTTCTACTGGATTCCCTTACAAATGTTAGCATATTTAACAGAACCGGATATGGTATTGTGACACTATCGCAATAAAGATGACCTTCAAATGTTTATTATCTCCTCCCCTATCATCCTTACCAACATTTTAGTAGAGACTTTATATAAGAATTTTTTTCCACCTTGAGAGTTTTAACGAAAGATTTAAATGAATTAAAACTTTTTTAAATTTTAAATTCAAAGTTAAAAAAAAAGATCTACCTTCGATAACTAATCTGCAATCCAAATCACGGAAAGACAGTTTGTCTTTATCACCCTGACCTGTCCAGTTTAGTTTTTTGAGAACATCATTATGTAATAATGACAACAACATTCTCTTCACTGCCTCTTTTAAGTTTTGCCCACCTTTAGAAGCAACTGCTCGTATCTAGATACAATAAGCAATAAAATAAACAATAAAACAAATAAAATAAAATGTCATCAAAATGAAACTTTTGACAATTAGCACAAAAAATTAACTTGACAACATACATTTAATTTAACTAAAAATTTAGATTTTAATTTCCAACTCTTGCTTTCTTACTGCTAATTTAGTTTAAGAAAAGAGAAATAAAGATTAAAAGTGTTTAGCATTAAAATTTTCTTGAGTTGCAAAATTTTAATGCTAAACACATTGTGGTGAACATCAATAAACCATTAGAAACTTTCTATTTTCTTTTAAATAACAAAATAATAAAAAAATAAAGTGTAAAAATTAAGATCAGTTAAATGAGTGAGCAACTTACAAGCTTTTTCATTGTTATTTTTTCATTTTCAAGTGTTTTTTCAAGTTGCAATAACTGAGCCATATTGCATAAAGGAAGTTTAAGAATATCAAAAATGTTTTGGTCATCATCATGAACTCCACCATTAGCAATATTCTGAAGCATGGCTGTGTTGTATGCAACCTCTTTTCTCAGATTTGCCACATCCTCTTTGAGTTCCACTAACATTGAAACTATTTTGTTTGTCACAGCCGAATGCAACATTTCTTTTGATCTCTGCTTCTCATCTATAAGATTTATTTTAGATTTTATTGCAGGAGGCGTGAATAAAAGTAGTGGAGTTAGCATTTGTGCGCTTACAGATTTTGATGGTGTAAGTTGCATTGATGTTCCAGAGGAAAATATTTTTGGCGTAACCGGAGCTGGTGTCAATAATTTAACTTTTTTAGAAATTGGAATAGATTCTTCCACAAAAAATTCTGTTTCGCTGTGCTCATCAGGATATAAAAATACTCTTCACATAAAATAAAATAAAAATACTTAGGACTTAATAACTTTAAAACCATAAAATTGTATTTACAAAAAAATATAAATTTTCTTATATTAAGTACCGCTTTGGACGTAGCCTAGTACTTGATTCTGAATCACTCTGCAGATCAGATGTTATGGTAGCTTTTTCAAGTTGACATAATGCCTTGTTGTAGGAACCTAAAATACAACCCCTAAGTTACACTCTTATAACAACACCATCAATGTTACAACTACAGTATACAATTATCACTATTTCTTTTGTACAATAAATTACAATTTTTTGACATTAATGCAGGTTATATCTTAAGCACATTATGTACATATGTGACTGACCTATTTTTTTAATAACTCGAATGGCATGCTTTGGCCAATTTTCATCAGGGGTTTCACATTCTTTGACAGCCTTTTTTACTCTGCCTTGTGAGGTATATGGTGGCCAAAAGCAAAGTTCATTACTAATTAAATATGTTTCTGGCAAAATTGCAACAGCATCTTCTTCATTTTTAAAAGTAACAATAAGAAACTGATGGAGATTCATTCTAAAGTTTATTCTAAATTAAATAAAAACATAACATCAATAAAAGAAAAAAAAAATAAAGCTCAGTATAAGAAATACTACTTTTATTTTATTTTTCTGATGTATAAAATTTTCAAAAGATTTTCAAATGATTCCATTATATAATATAATTTCAAAGATTAAAAATTTATTTTGAAGAAAAATTAAAATTACTGAAATGAAAGTTTAGAAAAATTTTAGACTTATCTCAAAAAATAAGACTAAGATTGTTACACTATTTAAATTACACAATCATTATGTTATTTTACAACAATATTGATATTATAATTATATTCTTTAACAGGAATTGTGTAATTGTGTATATATATATAATTTTGTATATATATATAATTTTGTATATATATATAATTTTGTATATATATATATATATATATATATATATATATATATATATATATATATATATATATATATATATATATATATATGTGTGTAGGTACATATATGTGTATAAAGTACTAGTAGTAGTAGTAGTAGAGTAGTAGTAGTAGTAGTAGGTAGTAGCAAAGTAGTAGTAGTAGTAGTAGTATTAGCAGTAGTAGCAGTAGTAGTAGTAGTAGCAGTAGCAGTAGCAGTAGCAGTAGCAGTAGCAGTAGCAGTAGCAGTAGAAGTAGCAGTAGCAGTAGCAGTAGCAGTAGCAGTTGCAGTAGCAGTAGCAGTAGTAGTAGTAGTAGTAGTAGTAGTAGTAGTAGTAGTAGTAGTAGTAGTAGTAGTAGTAGTAGTAGTAGTAGTAGTAGTAGTAGTAGTAGTAGTAGAAGTAGTAGTAGTAGTAGTAGTAGTAGTAGTAGTAGTAGTAGTAGTAGTAGTAGTAGTAGTAGTAGTAGTAGTAGTAGTAGTAGTAGTAGTAGTAGTAGTAGTAGTAGTAGTAGTAGTAGTAGTAGTAGTAGTAGTAGTAGTAGTAGTAGTAGTAGTAGTAGTAGTAGTAGTAGTAGTAGTAGTAGTAGTAGTAGTAGTAGTAGCTAAATACTGTACAACAACTGTACAGTAGTATTAAATTACAAATTAATAAAAAAATAAATAAGAATAAAATATAAAAAGTAAGCAATAAATTAACAAACCTTAAAAAACATCTTTTCTAAATTGCTTTAAATATAGATAAATAATAAAAACAAAACTTTTTTTATACAAGTTAAAAATAAGGAAGTCAGACACATTGACTGTCTATGGCTTTAACAAAAGTAATAAAATAATAATACTATAACTATTTTTCAGATAAATTGCTCAAAATAATTTTAAAGTGCTGCAATAAAACAAATGAGAGGTACTTAAATTTTTTTTTTTTTAATTTTTTTTTTTTAATTGTCTTCACTTCCAACAAGGTTGCAAGCAACCACTAATTAGTGTTGGGAGTTACTGGAAGAGGAAAGATAAAGATTGTAGAGCAAGATAACGATTGACAGACGACTTAAAATATTGCAAACTATATGAATCAGGAAAGCAAGATGAAGGAAGCAAATTCCAAAGAACTGATGTTCGAGGAAAAAAACTAGACGAATAAGAGTTTTTGGAGCACTTAGGAACAGTAACAGAAAAAGGATGAGACTTAATTAAATGACGAGTAACACGAGAATGAATTTTAGTAGATGGCACAAGAGACGCTAGCTCTTTAGAGCAGTGCCCATTATAGTATTTGTAGAAAAGAGAAAGAGAAGCAACATTACGACGATGTGACAGAGGTTGAAGGTTAGCAGCAAGAGCAGGTCCAAATATGTTTACAATGCGTTTTTGCACCTTGTCTAAAAGAGAAAGGGCATCATTAGAAGATCCGCCCCAGATATGGCAACAGTATCCCATACAAGGCCAGATTTGAGATTTATAGAGATAGAGAATAGAATCCAGAGTAAGTAGGTAACGAGCTCGATAAAGAGAAGCAACTTTAGCAGATGCTAATTTTGCAACGGATTTGATATAAGGTTTCCAAGAAAGATCAAAAGTAAGAGTTAATCCTAGAAGATGAAGGGTAGGAGACTCATCAATTACATTACCGTTCATAAATATAGGAAGGTCTAAATTATTGCGATAACGATTGGCCGAAAAAAATTGAGTTTTATATGAATTAAAGTTTACCAGCCACTGCGAGCCCCATGCTGTAGCAGAAGTGAGATCCTTTTCGAGCTCAGATGCCCCCTGCAAGCAATCAGAGGGAGTTGGCTTCTTATCGTGACAAGAATAAATGGTAGTATCATCAGCGAACAATGCCACCTTAGATGTGAGAATATCTGGAAGATCGTTAATGTAAGTTAAAAAGAGTATAGGGCCAAGGATTGAACCTTGGGGAACCCCTGAGGTTACAGAATAATAAGAAGAGTGCTGTCCATCAAGGACAACTTTTATACTACGATTGGAAAGGAAGGATTCAATAATCTCAAAGATGTTTCCAGATACACCATAAGAAGAAAGCTTATGGAGGAGACCAGCATGCCAAACTTTATCAAACGCTTTAGAAATGTCAAGAGCAATGGCCTTAACCTCTCCACCTTTATATAATGCGCGATAAAACCTATCGGTTATTACTGATAGGAAATCAGCCGTAGAACGAGAAGATCGAAATCCATACTGAAGATCAGAAAGTAGGTTATGAGATTTGAGATTCGAGATTAAGTGTTTGTTAATTAAAGATTCAAAAACCTTGCTTATGATAGGAAGAAGACTAATGGGACGGTAGTTAGATGAGTCAGATCGCTCTCCAGAATTTTTAAAAATAGGGATAACAGATGCTGCTTTCCAGCATGCTGGAAAACAAGACTCTGATAAGCACTTGTTGAATAGTTTTGAAAAGATAGACGACAGTTCAGGAGAACACTTCTGCAAGACTATAACAGGTATGTTGTCCCGGCCGCAAGCTGTAGAAGAGTCTAAGCGGGAAATCACTTTAGATACAGAAGCTGGAGTGATACGAATGTCGAGCAATGGATCAACCTGTTTGACGGGTATATCAGGTAAAACGCAACTAGTGGCATCAAGAGATGATATTGATGAAAAGTTCTTGGCAAACAATTCAGCTTTATCTTAGGTGAGGTGACAAATTCTGAACCGCACAAAAGAGGTGGAATTACAGACTTGCCCTTATTATTAATACTATTAAAGATTCTCCAGAAGTCACGAGAGCCTAATTTTTGTGATGAAATACGTGATTTCATGAACTGAGAATAGCGGTTTTGGCGTTAGACAAAACCTTTTTACAACGGTTCCTAGCAGTAATAAAGAGACGTCTGTTTTCTGGAGAATTGTTTTGCTGATAGATATGGAAGTAATGGTTTCGATTGGCAATTGCAGCAGCACAATGTGAGGAAAACCAGGGAGAAGAGTGAGGCTTGACCTGGAATCTTCAAGAGGGAATAAAGGATTCCATGCCAGCCTGAATCCACAAAGTTATGTAAGAAGCACATTTGTCAACAGGGAGACGAAAAATTTCTACCCAGGGGCCATCACGAAGAAAGTCACGAAAAGAGTCCCAGTCAGCTTTAAGGTAGTTGTAAGATGTACGATGATAGGGGGATTCTAATGGTAAAGAAGAATAAGATAATAGTTTTAGAGAGACCAAACCATGATCAGACACACCTAAGGGTGAGTGTGAAGAAACTGAATACTGACTAGGATCATAAACAAGACATAAGTCGAGTAGAGAAGGTAAATGATTCGGGTTGTCTGGAAAGCGAGTTGAAAAGTTGACTATTTGAGTTAGGGATTGAGAAAGACAAAAGTTGTGGGCCTTAATGCCTGCAGAGTCACTAAAGCTAGAGCCAAGCCATTCAGTGTGATGAACATTAAAGTCACCGACAACAACAATATTGGCTGATGGATAAAGAATGAGGGCTTGGTCAATATAATCAGAAATAGCATCAAAAAGAGTGCAGTCTTGGGATGAGGGAGAGCGATATAGAACAAAGAGAAAGGTGATAGAGTGAAGTGGTGCTAAACGAAAGCACATAAAAGAGTAGTCTGTGGATTCAAACCTAGTTTCCCGACAAATGGGTGAATTCTTACCAATGTAAATGCCTAGGCCAAGCATGTGACTATTGGAGTCTTTACGAATTAGAGGAAGATAACCATCAACACTAAGATCACAAGATGATACAGCTGAACTCAAATTAGTCTCACAAAGAGCAAGCAGGTCTGGTGAACTTTGCAAGAGATAAGACTCAACAGAAGAAAAGTTACTTCGAAGACCACGAATATTCGTGAATGATAGGTTTAGCGAACTTGGTGATGACTGTGGTTTTTTGTGTTTATAATTTTTGTTACTTTATTAATTTTTAAATTTGTTAAAGAACTTGACTCGAAACATTGATAGTACTCAGTACACTGTTCTATAGCTCAAGCAGTTGCCTCATTTCCACTAATAAATCCTAAGCCGTAACAAAGGGCTCCAATGTGGCCTTGGCAATGCACACCAAAAGTACAAACAGGGACACCATCCATGCGCAACATGGCACTGTTAGTACTCTGATATTTTTCATCTGTTGATGGAATCAGCCACTCTGAGAGCTACCACAGAGTTCGGGAAACCTGACTACCAGCCGGCCTCAGAACCATAAAACTGAGTTTTAGAGCTTTACCCTCATTTGGAGATAATAGAATGAGTTGCCTAGTCATAAAAACAGAGACACAAGCAAAAACCATGAATCGATTCAAGAAGATCCAGCGTTCAACATCCTAAACTGGAAACAATGTATTAAAAATACATCTGCGCCAGCCTAATAGATGACGAAGGGGTGCGAGGCTGGTCAACAGATAGAATCTGTTTACCCCTTAAGTCTTTGCCTAGGAGGCCTTCAACAAGACAGCAGCCGGATGCATGTAACATCTGCCCAAGATGAGTATTTTTATCGAGACACCATCTCTAGCCTTTACTCAACCAAGAGCCCCAAGGCAGGGGGTGTTTTATGTCGGAGTTTGCATCTCCTAGCCTTTGCCTAAAAAGGCATATCCTACAAGGCAGCAGGACATGAAGCAGATTGTACTGGGTTCATGTTACCAGTAGCAGGAT